ATTTTATATATTATGCTTTGTATGTTGTTCAATATATTTCTATGCAAAACAAGAGGAATTTCAGTACACAGCAGTATATCCACAGTTGAAACCAGATACTTACATACAATGGCCAGAGGGGCCGATGTGGCAGCCTCGCTTCTGTCAGTCTGCCCCAGGGCAGCTGTGGCTACAACCGTAGCTTGCCTCCACCAGTGTGTGAATGCGAGAGTGAATGAATAGTGGCATTGTAAAGCGCTTTGGGTGCCTTTTCAAGGCACCCAAAGTGTATTATTCCCTAAAGTGTATTATTATACACTTTAGAGAAAAACAAGAAATTTCTTTTTCTGTTAAACATCAATTTAGAGAAAACGTTTTTGTTTTAGATAAATAAATATTGAAATAAATTTAGGAGTATATATACACTAAGTTTATTGTGTCTTTAATTAATAAGAAAAACTTCAATTAACAAGAAAACTCCAGACGATTCCATTCTAAGCTTAAGAAGCTTCTTATAGGTAAGTTGAGTCCATTTGAGTAAATTGGTGGCACACCTGTGGATGCATATAAGGCACCCCAAAAATACAGAGCCTGTTTCTTTGTCATGGGAAAATCAAGAGATATCAACCAAAACACCAGGAAAAGAATTGTGGACCTCCATAAGTGTGGCTTAATTTTGAATACAATTTGGGTGCCATTTGCAATTAAGAAATGCATACAATTTCTCTCTGTATTGTGAAATTTAACAAATACGTTTTTTATATTTATCAATCAAAAAAATAAACATTTAGTCTGATTTGATGTTTTACAATTAAAAAAGTGTTTGTGTTTTTATCTGAAGAGTATGTAAATATCTGGTTTCAACTGTATATTTGATGATGTTGGTGTTTGGCTTGTTTGTTAGCACAAAGAGGGAGAGAGAGGAGGATGGAGAGGATAATGAGGACAGAACAGAGATAGAACAAGAGCCAGGTGAGACAGACATGTTAGTCAAGTGGTTGTTTGCCAAAACTCATCAAAACATGTATCTAGTATCTTTTTAGGTTTGTTATTTTTCAAATTCTATATTTATTAAGTTATGCAGGCTTGTTTGCTCAACAAGGCTAAATAGTTATATAAACTTTAGGGCTAAGCCCCAGGTGTATAAAATGTCTGGCTCCGCCTCTGGTTGTTACCACTGTCCTGTTTGAAATGGAGAAGCCGGTTATTTTGTCATATGCGCATGTGCCGATATTAAACCCAAGGTACTAACTAGCTAACTGACTTATAACCTTATAAGTCCCATTAACCTTATAACTCCTGTTGTGTGTGCGTTTGTGTATCCACACAAACGCACAGTGGGGCAAATACAGTGGGGCAAAAAAGTATTTAGTCAGCCACCGATTGTGCAAGTTCCCCCACCTAAAATGATGACAGAGGTCAGTAATTTGCACCAGAGGTACACTTCAACTGTGAGAGACAGAATGTGAATCCACATTCACAGAATGTGAAAAAAAAAATCCATGAATCCACATGGTAGGATTTGTAAAGAATTTATTCGTAAATCAGGGTGGAAAATAAGTATTTGGTCAATAACAAAAATACAACTCAATACTTTGTAACATAACCTTTGTTGGCAATAACAGAGGTCAAACGTTTACTATAGGTCTTTACCAGGTTTGCACACACAGTAGCTGGTATTTTGGCCCATTCCTCCATGCAGATCTTCTCGAGAGCAGTGATGTTTTGGGGCTGTCGCTGAGCAACACGGACTTTCAACTCCCGCCACAGATTTTCTATGGGGTTGAGGTCTGGAGACTGGCTAGGCCACTCCAGGACTTTCAAATGCTTCTTACGGAGCCACTCCTTTGTTGCCCGGGCGGTGTGTTTTGGATCATTATCATGTTGGAAGACCCAGCCTCGTTTCATCTTCAAAGTTCTCACTGATGGAAGGAGGTTTTGGCTCAAAATCTCACGATACATGGCCCCATTCATTCTGTCCTTAACACGGATCAGTCGTCCTGTCCCCTTGGCAGAAAAACAGCCCCATAGCATGATGTTTCCACCCCCATGCGTGGAGCCCCAGATCGAGGGAGATTATCAGTGGTCTTGTATGTCTTCCATTTTCTGATGATTGCTCCCACAGTTGATTTTTTCACACCAAGCTGCTTGCCTATTGTAGATTCACTCTTCCCAGTCTGGTGCAGGTCTACAATACTTTTCCTGGTGTCCTTCAAAAGCTCTTTGGTCTTGGCCATGGCAGAGTTTGGAGTCTGACTGTTTGAGGCTGTGGACAGGTGTCTTTTATACAGATGATGAGTTCAAACAGGTGCCATTCATACAGGTAACGAGTGGGGGACAGAAAAGCTTCTTACAGAAGACGTTACAGGTCTGTGAGAGCCAGAGATTTTCCTTGTTTGAGGTGACCAAATACTTATTTTCCACCCTAATTTACGAATAAATTCTTTACAAATCTACCATGTGAATTCATGGATTTTTTTTTTCACATTCTGTCTCTCACAGTTGAAGTGTACCTCTGGTGCAAATTACTGACCTCTGTCATCATTTTAGGTGGGGGAACTTGCACAATCGGTGGCTGACTAAATACTTTTTTGCCCCACTGTAATGGATATAAGGAAGTTTTTTCAAAAAAAGGAGCCACATTCAGGTAAAAGTGTAAGATCAAATGATCCGTCAATCAAGAATAATGTTGGATCAGTGTTTCAATATTTATATCTTTTATTAGATGTACACGTAACCACGGTTATTTGCCTTTTGGTTGAAAGTACACTGAGAGAGGACTTTTTATTATTGATCTTAATAGTATTTTTTCATATTAATGTAATTTTTTCATCTAATTGAATACAATCTATTTGTGTATGATTGTCAGTCCAAAGAAGGAGACAGGAAAGTGGGGAACGTGAGGAGAAAGTACAAGGTCTGGAAGAACCAGGTAAGAAAACAGACAGGGAATAGTGACAGGCAAAACAGAAACTGTTAAACTGACAAAGAAAAAAAAAAAAACAACCTAATTTTACTCATACAATCTGGAAGTTCTGTTCTGCCTTGTTGAAACATTTTTTTAAACCTCTTTAACAACATTCCAACGTAACATTGTCATTGATTGGGGAGATTAAAATGAATATACAGCCAATAATAGGTAGGCCAACTTTTGGACCATCTAGTTGTCTGTATGACTGCTGCAGTACATGCACCACATTTGCGCACTCTCAGAAAATGCCAAACAGTGCCCTGGTGGAATGAGGAGCTGTACATTGTACGGTAGGCAAAGTTGCCTCCATTTTTATAATTTTTTAATTAATATTTTGTACATTTGTACATTTCGAAGACTCTTCTATTTTTGGAGTGTCTTTTTTTGTATCTTTATTTTAATATACTTACACATTAAAAGTGAATCTCTGTCCATAAAAAATGTACTCAGTCATGCACTTTTTACTCACTATGAGCATCATTCATTACCCACCCCCAGTAATTAAGATTAGGATATGTATGTTTTTTTATTCCAGGAAGGAACAGCTCTGATCCTAGAATTGCCCCTTGTTTCATTCTATAATACTGGACTTATTTTTCTACGAAGGTTTGAACTTTGAGAGTGTTTAAACAAGAGAGAAAAATGTGAAAATGTTCATGCCTGTCTGAGAAAAGCGTATAAAGTGTGTAGTGAGGGGTTTTACAGCCTTAAAACATTATAATTATTCAAAGTAATTGTAAAAAATAACGACTTTTAATGGCTTCTTTGTGGATTCATTGTTCACTCCAAAGATGTGGGAAGAAAACTGCAGATTTCAGTCCATCTTCTTGTAGTGTCCTTCCATGTAATGTCAAAGCCAGAAGAAGTCAAGTCAGTCAGTTAAACAAGTTAAAATCCTCCTCCATCAAGAATTAATAGTTTATTGTCACATACACTGGAAAACAGTGGTTACGCTCAGCAATGAAATTCTTACATGCTAGTTCACTTCAAATGGGAAAATATATATAACTAAATATAAATAACTGAACTAAATGAAAATAAAAATAATTATACACATAGAAAAAGAAAAAACATAAGGAAGTACATGCAAGATGAGTGAGCTGGGTCTAGCCCACACTGCTGAGGCATTTGGCTGCATTTGGTTGTAGTTCTCATCTTTTCCCCCTCCAGTGTTCAGTTGCTGTCCCCACCTTCACTCCAAATCTGTTCTGATTTGAGCCAAGACCCAGTTGGGTCCAAGTCTGCAAAAAATAGGCTTATTCAAACTAAAAGCATATTTTGGGGTGTCTGTGGAAGTAGGTCATCTCCTAATTGGAAGACTTATGGTTCGATCCCAGGCTGCTACATTTCATTACATGAACTATTTGCTTAACACAGAAAATAAGGACACATTAAACAGTAGGTTTACAATGCCTTCACACAGTAAAAAAAAATAAATAAATTCGCTAAACAGAATAAAACAAAACTGAATGAAGCAAAACAAAATAACACTTAAAACCTCTTTATTTACACAGGCCTACAATGATGAAGTCTTATTTTGAATTTACACACAGATGTAACTGATCAGGTGAGCAGGTAGCTTGTTCCAAAGAAGAGGACCCCAGTACCTAAAAGCACCTTAAGCATACTCAGATCTGATTCTGGAAACAGTTAAATGATCTGAACCTGGTGACCTAAGAGGTCTGACTGTGTTAGAGATATACTGGATGCCCAAACCACTGAGAGCTTGTAAAGTAATAGAATAATTAAGTAATCGCATTAACCTTATTCATGGCATTATCAAAATTGAGATCCCGATCCAAAATTATGCCAAGGTTCCACAACAAATTTGGATCCAGAAAAACCTGAATTTTCTGTTGTTTTTATGCAGCACATTCAGTGTAAAATAGCCTTCAGACTGTGGATGTGGTTCTTAGAGTATTTAAAAGTAGAATGAAAGGCAGAGCCTTCAGTTTTCAGGCCCCTCTTCTATGGAACCAGCTTCCAGTTTGGATTCAGGAGACAGATGCTATCTCTACTTTTAAGATTAGGCTTAAAACTTTCCTTTTTGTAAAGCATATAGTTAGGGCTGGATCTGAGGCCTCAGACTGCAATAGGTCTAGGTTGCTGGGGAATTCCCATTATGCACATAGTGTTTCCTCTTCAGTCACCTTTTTTATTTACTGTGTGTTAATACACAACTCTGCATTTAATTTTTAGTTATTAGTAATTTCTGACTCTCTTCATAGCATTTATCCTGTCGCCTCCCTTCACCCCCAACCAGTTCAGGCAGATGGTCGCCCCTCCCTGAGCCTGGTTCGGCTGGAGGTTTCTGAATGTTAAAAGGTAGTTTTTCCTTCCCACTGTCACCAGAATGATTGCTTACCAGAGTGGAGAGAGCCGTTTATCATATTTAGAAAATGATTTAATTTCATCACACTCATTTACTGAAGGAAATTCAGTTAGCATGGTTTTGGAGGGATAAAATACTTCATCAGTGGATGAAAAAAAAAGCAGAATTAGACTGGTTATTGTTGATCACTTGGGAGACATAGGATTTTCTGGTTAATTTAATTATTCTAGCAGTATAGCGCATTTTTCATAGATTTCTAAATTAATTAATTTGTAGTTTATTTTCTCTCAACTCTCCTGCAGTGTTTTTTGCCATCTTTCACTATTTTTCCAGGGTGCTTTTGGTGGACCATATATATCAATAGTTTTTACAGGAGCAATAATCTCAATAACATGAGCAATTGTATTAGAGAAGTTGTCCATCATTTCATCACAGGATAACAGGAATGGTAATGTACACTTTGAAAATTCCCTGATGAATGTATCAGCTGTGCTGACATGCCGCTTATTGATGAATTAATTTGTGTTTTTGTTTTGACAGATGAACAATTGCAGGGAGTGACAGAAGTATTGGTGGGTTGACACAGGGTGGGTTTTTCCAGGGAGTCCAGCAGCAGTTCATTCTCCCTTCTTTGGTGAAAGATGGAAATCCAACTTTCCAGCGTGGCTATTTTCTGGCTGAGCTGAAAAAGATCCAGAGCTAGTCGATTGTAGCGGGTCTCTTTAGTGTAATCCTTCTGAAACCATTTATGGGTAGGTAGCAACCAAAGGAGAAATCCATAGAGCAGAAGGACACCAACAGGTGTTCTGTTGGTGTTGGGCTGGTTGTCAGAATTCAATTGTTCAAACAAAAGTAGGTAGAAACAAATAGTTTTATAGTATAAACAAAGTTTCAAGCTCACAGCAGATGACCAGTTGGTAGTGTCGTGCAGCAATAACCTAAAGTAATGGGAGAAACGTGTCAAGCCAGCCAAAACTGAAATATGATGAACATGTATTTTAGTAATGATGACTGCAAATGATGTAGAGGTACATCAAAATTTATATTTGTCTGCACAGATCCACAAAAAAAAGTAGAAGCTTACACACAGAAGCTTAGTTGACAGAAGAATATCCAACCGATTTACACAGACAACAGTAAGACATCATTTCTTTACTGCAGCTTTCCTGTCACTCTTTCTCACTTAGGCACAGGAGGATGCTAATGCTACCAACACTTTTTCCAAACTCACAGTCTTAGAGAGCACAACAGTGAACGGATTTGATTTAAATCCCTATCGTGGACAATGATTCACAGACGTATCTAAACTAGAGATGGCACGATACCACTTTTTTATGTCCGATACCGATACCGATATCATGAATTTGGATATCTGCCGATACCGATATGAATCCGATATAGTGTGTTTTTTAATCAATAAAACTGTTTTTTAATATCTTGCTGCATTTTGTATAAGTTCATACTCAAGTTTAAATAAA